ATCAAACGGTTCTAAGCCAAAACTTTAGATTTGTTTGTCCTTGGGATGGATGGTCAAACAATGTGCCATAACCCCCCAAAAAATCAACTGCAAAGTGAATCAAAAAATGGAGTTTTTTACTGTGCAATTTCTTACAATAATTCTTTCTTCTAGTTTTGCACTTCTCTTTAATCATCAAACTAAAGTAAAAGAAAGAAAAAACAATCAATTTGCTGAAAACAGAAAATGGAACAAAATATGGCAAACAAATTCTTCACGTAAACACATCAAAAAATACAGGTTTGGTTGTTTAAAAAAGTGTTACCAGTAGCCTATGAATATAGTGCGAAAGTAAAAATTACTTTAGTTTGAGCAAACAGCATGAAGGTATTCCTGGTGACCCTGTGTCTCGTCTTCGTCAACCAAGCCTTTGGCGACACTGATGTTTCAGACGCTTTTTTGGAACAAGAATTTAAGGTCTACCCTAATCGTTTCTTATCAGCAACTTATCAGATGTCTCACCAAAATTACTGAGTCTTAAAGCAGTATTACCTTTTGCAAATTTTTTTAATATGACAAAAGTATTTCTGCAGAAGGAGGACAAGGACAACAGCGGCGGTCTTTCGCTAGACGAAGTTAAGGCAGCGACGGTTGAAGATTCCAATGGTCAGGCCATTCCACCAGACGTTTTGAAGGCTATAGAAGCTGGCTTCAAAGAAGACGACACAAACCATGATGGAGTTCTCTCATTTGCAGGTATTTCTACTTTGTCAGTTATTTACTAATAATAATATACTTTCGAGTAGATAAAATGCAGAAACACTTTGCTGTTGTTGCACTTGAAAAAGCATATTAATAAATCTATATTTGTCATATATAGCATAGTATAACGTAAAATTAATTGCAGAAGTAAAAGCAAAGGTTGAAAAGAACAAGAAGATGGCTGAAGCAGCTCCAGATTCTTAAGCAGTTAAACAACTCGTTCAGTTCACAGGAATATCATTCATTTCTTAACTTATTTAAATGTCAAAACGGTGACTGATTCTCACCAACTAACAGAATCTCAATTTGTTCATTCGAGTTTGTCTGCATATACTGATTCGCTCATGATGATTTTATTCAACTTATTTTCTCAATTGCCCGTTGAGATGATAATTTGAGTAATCTTTTTTGAAACCGCTAATAAAATTCGCTCTTTCTTCCGCAAAAACTCTTTCAACATTCACACAGCTCCCTCTAAAGACAAAATAATCTAGTTTTTTTCTACTTACACGTACAC